CTGCGGGAAAAACGTGATTTACCACAGAGCAGTGATTTCCTATGGGTCCTCTGTTGTGGTATTGGTGGTGTGGCAGACACTGTAATAATAGGATGTGTCCTAGCCATGACATGATTTGATTTAATGTTGTTACATCAAATCATTAGCTGTAACAATATCTTATTGCTTTTGCTAAAAGCATACACAAATGTAGCTATGCAGTTTTCTGGCTGTATGATAGCATTAGAATCTATCCTACTTCAAAAGATAGTTATTACCGACAAAAAGCAGCAATTCCAAGGCCACTACTAGTATAACGACCTGGTCTGAGAAGAAAGCTGGCTGGCTATAATGCCGAGAGTTCTAGAACGTCATCGGTCTGAATGTACAGACCGAGGGTCAGTGCAATCCGGGGTCCTTGGGACGCCCCTACCCTTTAACCATTTTTAAAAATGTCAACCTCACTGGTGTGGGGACGTCCCAGCGGTCCCGGATAGCATGGACCGTAATACATGCAGCCCCACACGTTATGGAGTATGTACATTTTTTAAAAACATTTAGTTAGTGAGTGCATACATTTTCATACTGGCCCCCCGTGGGAAACGAACCCACAACCCTGGCGTTGCAAGCGCCATGCTCTACCTACATGTAACGTTAGGCCTAATAAAATTGTAACTAACTACTTTGCAACGGCTGTAAATCCGTTAAACGTTACCACAGTATATGATAATACTGCATTTCCCACAATTAATAAACATTTGCAGTACAACAATACAAAATCTAAACAGACGCCAAAATGTAGCAAAACAACTCACCATCTCCTGGGGATATTGTTTCAATTTCCACACCCATTATGATAAAAAGCCGACGGTGTTTGCTAAAGCATAAAATAAAGCAGGTTTGGTTTCTACTGTCTAGTCTATTTCGGTGGCTAAAAAGGTGCAAGCTGCGGCAATGCCGACCACTGATCCAGTTCACTCAACTCTGAGAAATGCAAGATAGTGTTTGCCTGGCTACCCAGAGTAGACGCCTTGCTCTGGCCAAACGCTACGCCACGCCCATGGGCGTTATGCCGCGTTCATATACTAGTCGGAACTAGGAAACTCGGAAATTTCCGACATGCTGACTGGTTGTAGTTATCCACGTGCCGCGTTCAACGAATCAGCAACTCGGAAATGTCCGAGTTTCTAGTTCCGACTAGAATATGAACACGGCATAAAACCAGCGAAATTATTGAGCGTGTTGTCAGGCTAAGATCACAGAGTTTCTAAACACAGAGGTGCAACATCGTGAGACTTCCGGGAACGCTTGCGAAACACACCAAACTGACCCGGCCGGGGTTTGGGGTTTGAGAAATCAATGAGAGAAGTGAACAAATCTTCCTTAGTTATTAATTTCTCGAAATCTAAAGGCACAACCTAGATTCGAGCCAATGTCTTAAGTACTTTAACATGTTATTATTCCAACCTTGTGAAAGTGACAAACTGACACGTTTTCATTTTCGTCAAAAACAACTTTATATGGAAGGAGAGCCTTTGAGTTGACGGACTGCACATGCGCAGTTTGGCGTGAGACGATCATAGACCTGATTAAGTATTTCTACCAATTAAGTTTATACACCTAATTGGTTTCTACATGAGCCTATGCTGCGTTCAAATGCTAGTTCGAACTAGGATATTCGGAAATTACCAACTTGCTGATTCGTTGAAAGCAGCATGTGTATAACTACAACCAGTTAGCAAATCGGAAATGTCTGAGTTTCCTAGTTCCGACTAACACTTGAACGTGGCATTAGCTAGCCAATGTCGCCATGACATCGCCTACAAGTGTGATCTGGGATTTACATTTACATCATTTAGCAGACGCTCTTATCCAGAGAGACTTACAGTATTTTTTTATTTTTCATATCCCCCGTGGGAATCGAACCCACAACCCTGCCGTTGCAAACGCCATGCTCTACCAACTGAGCTACATCCCTGCCGGCCATTCCCTCCCCTACCCTGGACGACACTGGGCCAATTGTGCGCCGCCCCATGGGTCTCCCGGTCGCGGCCGGCTACGACAGAGCCTGGATTCGAACCAGGATCTCTAGTGGCACAGCTAGCACTGCAATGCAGTGCCTTAGACCACTGCGCCACTTTTCTATTGGAAAATCAGTTTTAGCCAGTGGAGGCTGATGGGAGGACCTATGGGAGGACGGGCTCATTGTAATGGCTGGAATGGAATCTATGGAATGGTATCAAACACATCAAACACATGGAAACTACATGTTTGACTCTGTTCCATTTATTGCATTCCAGCCATTATAACGAGCCTGTCCTCCTATAGCTCCTCCCACCAACCTCCACTGGTTTTAGCCTATCTTCATACTGTACTGTCTTTGCTTAGATTGCATTAAAATAGTCTTCAAAAACCTCAGCATTGAGCTACATAACCTCCTCTCAAATCTCGTCCTAGTCTCAGTTTTGGGGGACCTAACGTTTACAGCGCCTGAGTGGACTGATCTGTGACTGAACACTGCTGTTGACAAGAATGCCCCTATGTGGTCAACACATAAAATACACCAGACTTCCTATTGACGTCTAATCCCATTATCAAAGACAGTACTGAAGATAAGCTAAAACTGCTTCTCCAATAGCTAGCTAACGGTGCTTTCAAGCCAACTGGGAACTCGGAAAAAAATTAGTTCAAATCATGACGTCATCGGGTCTAACAGTCGTCTCGAGCTGAATGGTGCATGTGCTGGCTGTCAAATCAAAGGCACTACATTTTACATTACATTTTAGTCATTTAGCAGACGCTCTTATCCAGAGCGACTTACAGGAGCAATTAGGGTTAAGTGCCTTGCTCAAGGGCACATTTACGTCATTTAGCAGACGCTCTAGTCCAGAGCGACTCACAAATTGGTGCATTCACCCTATAGCCAGTGGGAAAACCACTTCACAAATTTTTGTTTTTGGGGGGGGGGGGGGGGGGGGTAGAAGGATTACTTTATCCTATCCCAGGTAATCCTTAAAGAGGTGGGGTTTCAAATGTCTCCGGAAGGTGGTGAGTGACTCCGCTGTCCTGGCGTCGTGAGGGAGCTTGTTCCACCATTGGGGTGCCAGAGCAGCGAACAGTTTTGACTGGGCTGAGCGGGAACTATGCTTCCGCAGAGGAAGGGGAGCCAGCAGGCCAGAGGTGGATGAACGCAATGCCCTCGTTTGGGTGTAGGGACTGATCAGAGCCCGAAGGTACAGAGGTGCCGTTCCCCTCACTGCTCCATAGGCAAGCACCATGGTCTTGTAACGGATGCGAGCTTCAACTGGAAGCCAGTGGAGTGTGCGGAGGAGGGGGGTGACGTGAGAGAACTTGGGAAGGTTGAACACCAGACGGGCTGCGGCATTCTGGATGAGTTGTAGGGGTTTAATGGCACAGGCAGGGAGGCCAGCCAACAGCGAGTTGCAGTAGTCCAGACGGGAGATGACAAGTGCCTGGATTAGGACCTGTGCCGCTTCCTGTGTAAGGCAGGGTCGTACTCTCCGAATGTTGTAGAGCATGAACCTGCAGGAGCGGGTCACCGCCTTGATGTTAGTGGAGAACGACAGGGTGTTGTCCAGGGTCACGCCAAGGCTCTTCGCACTCTGGGAGGAGGACACAACGGAGTTGTCAACCGTGATGGCGAGATCATGGAACGGGCAGTCCTTCCCCGGGAGGAAGAGCAGCTCCGTCTTGCCAGGGTTCAGCTTTGATATACTTTGATATAAAGTTGTTTTTGACGAAAATTAAAACGTGTCAGTTTGTCACTTTCACGAGGTTGGAGTAATAATATGTGCCTTTAGATTTCGAGAAAATTAATAACAGGAAGAATTGTTCACTTCTCTCATTGACTTCTCAAATCCAAAACTCCGGCCTAGTCTGTTTGGTATCTTTCGAAAGCGTTCCCGGAAGTCTCGTTATGTTGCGCCTCTGGGTTTAGAAACTCTGCTATTATGCTTTTGTATTGCCTCGTTATTCAATTCCGGTTCATGATAGCAACTTTCACCCCGGGAAAAGTGAAATAAACGTGGGAAATGTGATAAAGGTTTATGGTTTCTCAAGAAAACCGAGGCATGTAATTTGCAAATGCAAGTTTGTGCATAGAATTTCGTGACAGAATAATTTATTCGCGATTATATCAAGCTAGATAGCTACTTCACCAGCTTGTTCCTGCTGCCTTTAGTTGCTAGCTTGGTTATCTAGCTGCATGGGTTTGCTGGCTAGTCAAAAACGTTGACAGCTAACGTTAGCAACATAGCTAGCTAGTCAGGTAGCTAATGATTTTCTATTGTTGGGGAGCTAGCTATTGCAGTTGACGGCAGCAAATATTTGGTGTAATAGTTAGCTCTTCACTTTACCGTCATAGTTTAATTGCATTTGATGTGAACATAGCTAGCTATGACAATGTAATTTTAGTTGGCACAAAGTAATAATAACAATTTGAAGACCTGTAGTTAAAAGGGATTGATTGGTTGTCTCTCACTGCCAAATCCTTAACGTTACATAAGGTCACATTTGCCTGCCAAATGTGATCAGATCTACTTCTAGTGTAGTGACTCCTTGAATCAGTTGAGTTAGTTGAAATAGCTAGATTGCTAGTTAATACAGTTTGAACTCACAAGATACAACACTGATATCATTATTTGTCTTTAATGCCTTGAGGACTGGTGTGTAATATAACCTACCTGATCTGCATGGCTAAGGTCATTCAGACTAATCAGCTCAGCACTGGCCCTGAGGTGTTACCTCCCTCAGGCAGAGGGGATTAGGGATTTTACATCACCAGAGATGCATGACAGGAGAGGCTTGTCCTATTCTTAGTGTAGGATGGCAGTTAAAGTAGCTGGAACTGGTATTCTGCACGTCAACATCCACCTCACTACAGATATCCTCTGCTCTCATCAATGCTATTGAATGAGTAATTGTTTCTTCTTCTTCAATGTTACTGATCAGTGAGTGATCATTTTTTCTCTCTCCATTTGGATTAGTCCATACTTGTCATTATGGAACTGGGCAAAGCCAAGTTGCTGAGGACAGGTCTGAACACGCTACACCAAGCCATCCACCCTGTCCACGGAATCGCATGGACGGATGGGAAGCAGGTGTGCCTCACCTCCCTCTACTATGCCAACGGCGACGTGAAATTCGGCGACACCAACGTCATTGGTCAGTTTGAGCATGTCTTCGGTCTCTACTGGGGCCCTCTGTGCTGTTCCGGCTCTCCTGCCCTGTTGGCCGTCCAACACAAGAAGCATGTCACAGTGTGGCAGTTGCAGCTCAGTGCTCTGGAACAGAACAAGCTGCTCTGCACTCAGACCTGTGAGATGAGCGAACCTTTCCCCCTGCTGTCTGAGGGATGTGTCTGGCATCCCAAGATGGACATCCTTTCTGTCCTCACCAAGAAAGATGCATCTGTGCTGTTCTGTGTCCGTGTGGACAACCGCAGGGTGAAGGCTGATATTAAAGGCAGTGGACTCATCCACTGTGCCTGCTGGACCAAAGATGGCACCCGGTTGGTTGTGGCCATAGGAAGCGCCCTTTACTCCTACATCTATAACGATGTTCAGAAGAGTCTTTTAGCCTGCTCCTTCTGCCCTATCTTCGACGTGGGTGGGTACATCTGCGCCATCGAGTCAACAGGCGAAGCCCAGGTGGCAGTGGCTACAGAGCTACCTCTGGATAGAATCTGCGGGCTGAACGCAGGTATAGCCTTCGATGTGCCCTCAGATTCCGAGTCCTCCCTACCTGGACATTCTTCTCCTATGGTGATGTTGGACGAGGATGGCTGTATAGACCCCCGCAGGAGGTCCTTTGACTCGGAGAGGTCCTACCTGTCCTGCTCTCCCTCTGGCGGCCCTATGGACCTCACCCACCTTCTGGCCAAGCACCGGCGCTCCGACCCCAGTCCACTCATACACCTGCGCCGCAAGGACCACCTGACCGGCTCCGGACAGGATTCGTCTCACCTTATCCTGGTCACCTACGAACGGAAAGTCACCAGCACCAGTAAGGTCAGCATCCCTGGGATCCTGGTGCCGGACATCGTGGCCTTTGACTCCAAAGGCTCCACGGTGGCGGTGGCCTCCAACACGTGTAGCATGGTGCTCGTCTACTGCATCACGCCCTCCGCTATGCCCAATGTCCAGAAGATCGCCTTACAGAAGAACGAGAGGCCCAAAGGCGTCTGCTTCCTCAGTGACAAGACGTTGCTTCTCATGATCGGCAGACAGAAGTCCAACGAACCTGCCTTCCTCCCCTCCTCCAACACGGACAAATACATCCTGCGCCTCGCCTCCAAGGAGATAGTCTACGACGGAGAAACCCCGGCGTCTCCCTCCCCGAACCGGCAATCCCCTGTTAATTTCTGCCCGAGGATTAGGCGCCACTCGGAGCATGTCTTCTCTAAAGAGGAGCAGCAGGAGCGTGTGGCAATCAAGGAGTTGGTGCTGCCGGGAGGAGGTGTAATCCAGTCCCATTCTCCAGGGAGCAGCAGGAGGAGGCTGGTGGAGGAAGTGAGGAGCCCGGAGCCCAGCTCATTCGACTTCCCATACTCTGACCTCTGTCGCCCCTCTGACCAACCCAACTCAAGCGCCTCCTCCATTACGGTCGAGAACTTCAACATGGAACCCATCAACCGGATGAGAGGGTCAGTGCAATCCGAGGAGTCGAGTCCACCCTGCTCCCCATACTACAACCCTGGGGATAAGCCCCACACGGAGTTCCCCACCTTGCCCAAGACCACCCCCCTGACCCCCAAAGAGAAGGAGAGGAACCTGGAGCAGCTTTCTCAGAACATGGAGAGGATCTTTTCTCGCTTCTCTGAGGTGCAACAGTGTCTCACAGAGATCAAGGACTTCACTCAGAACGGGAAAAGGGGTCTGGGGACTAGTTACCCCAATGCCTGTGAACCTCCATACGTTAACATCACATGTCAGGTAGGGGTTACAACTTACAAGAGATTTTCAGAGGCACATTTTTTAAGATAATGCATATTTATTGAAGACCTCACTTATTTAAATAATAGACCGCACCTATGTACAATAAAGTTACATAAGACACACAAAGGAATGTATGTAAATCACACAAATACATACTGAATGCCATACTGTAGGTAGGCCATACATGAAGCCTTAGTCAGCATTCAGCAGATGTCAGATTAATGGGCTATTGTTAGCCTTGCTGGGCCTTGTCTGAAGGTGAGGAAGGAGATGTACTGTAACGTGCTCCCTGGGCTAGAGTCTGTAATCCACCATTGGCTTAAAATAGACAGCATGCTGACAGCACAGTGTGTATGCTATTATGGTGTTCCCAGAATAAGCGATAAAAGTACAGTTTGTGAAATGATGCCATAGTTGCATCCATCAATAACTGTCTGCATTCTTGAGGTCAGAATTGTACTAACTACCCCCCCCCTCTCTCTCTCTCTCTCTATCTCTTCCCTCTCCATGCAGAAGCAGCTGTCTGAGAATGTGTTTATAGATGAGAGAAGACCAGTGTTGCTGTGTGAGGGGAAGCTGTGTCTGAAGGTTCTTCAGGAGCTTTTTAACCTCACTGTAGTGGAGATGATGTATGGTAGGCATCTAGCCCGTTGGCTTTCCCCACACCAATAATAACACATGGTTGTGGTGTTGAGATTATTTGTTTTCACATTATGTACACATTTATTTGGACTTCACTGTTTCATTTTTGGCTCTATACTCCAGCATTTTGGATTTGAGATCAAATGTATTTTGATACATATCTGTTTTACCGTTTAGAAATTAAAGCACTTTATGTATCTAGTCCCCCCATTTAAATAAGCTCTTGGACAAATTCACTTAGTGTATTAAAGTAGTCAAGTTTAGTGTTTGGTCCCATTTTCCTAGCACGCAATGACTACATCAAGCTTGTGACTCTACAAACGTTTGTTTTGGTTGTGTTTCAGATTATGTTTTGCCCAATAGGAACTAAATGGTGAATAATAATAAAATAAAATGTTTCTGAACACTTCTACATTTATGTGGATGCTACCATGATTATGGACAGTACTGAATGAATCCCCTGTTATTGGTAATGGTTAGAGGTTAGCATTTATGGGGGGAAGGTATGATCTTTGTTCCTCTGTAACGTTCTCACTCATCATTATTCACGATTCATTCATGATTATTCATAATCATGGTAGCATCTTCAAATGTGGTCCTCTGTAGCTCAGCTGGTAGAGCACGGCGCTTGTAACGCCAAGGTAGTGGGTTCGATCCCCGGGACCACCCATACACAAAAATGTATGCACGCATGACTGTAAGTCGCTTTGGATAAAAGCGTCTGCTAAATGGCATATTATTATTATTATTATTATTATTATTTATTATTATAAATGGGGGGTACTAGGTACTTAAAGTGATTTCATTTCTAGACGGTAAAACAGATACGTATGAAAATACCCTCAAATAAAAGGTGACATTCTGTACTGTCGCCTCATATCAAACATTTGATCACAAATCCAAAATGATGGAGTATTGAGCCAAATGTAGAATTTTTTTGCTTCACTGTCCAAATAAATACGGATGGGAGTGTATATACCCCAGGCTTAATTCTACCAGTTATTTGAGGTTAAAGGTAGACTCAGCTATATGACATCATCATTCACAGCGGGGTGACTTCCTGCTTACCTGAAATCAACACAATTCAAATATGCAAAGACTGCCATTATTACCTCTTTCAATGTGGGCATGCCTCAAGAGGAAATTGGGTATAGTGGCAGTCTCTGCATATTTGAATTCTGTTGTGGATTTCTGTAAGGTCTGGGGCCAACATTTGCTGTCAAAAGACTTGTAGTACAAAAGGTTAAGTGCGGCTGTCTTTGCCCTATAGGAACCAAGAGGTAGGGTTGGGCAGTGTTTTCAGAAGTGTGTGTGTATGCGTGCATGGTTGTGTGTATGCATACTACTGAATTCGGACGGGGATAGGAAAAAGGGTTTCACTCAGGTTTCCAGGAATCCATTCATATAAGAATAAGCCTATAACCTATATCCTCAGCCAATAGTCTAGACTGAGGAGCTACTCCAACACTAAGCATCTCGCAACTATATCAAAATAATTACAGTGTTGTTTCACTCCACATAAACAAACATACATGAATGCATTTTAAACAACAGTATTTGCCGATAAACAAAGTGCTTCAGTTAATGGGCGGAGAGGCTAAATATGGGAGTGATTATAGGGTTGGCTTAGATTGAGGTTTAAAACAGAAGCAGCTTACAGTCCCACCACACCTTCCCTGTGTTAGTTCTGCTAATATACACTCTCAGCATGCTCCCTCGCAACACACAGTATTTATAGAACATTTATAACGCCACCTCATTCAGGACTTTCACTGTTTGGGTTTTTACAGCAAACTTAGAGCCGGATGTTGTGGTTACTTTGATTCCAAAACAGCTGTATTAGATAGTAGACACTTGCTGAATTAGAAGCTTAGTACAATCTATTTGAAGGGATACATTAATGTAATCTGTAACCAGGTTTCCATTCAACCATTTCATGCAGATGAATTACCTGACGCATAAAATAACTCACGACTGGGCTGATGGAAACAAGAAATGTCGGTCAATTTCAGAAATGTCGACAATTTGTTCCTTCGACATGGAACATCTTTTTGTGTCGGTAAAATGTATTATGCGAGAAATAGCGATGGATACGCCTTTTTGCGCAAATATTGATATAATAACCTTCATAGCACAGTAAACTTGGAGTCACGCGATGAGATCTTGTATGTGGTCTTCCCACTTGGGAAAGCATGTAGTTTTATTAGGCTACAGATGAAATAAGTTATGATGAACTTCACAGGGTGGTGAAAGTTCATGGTGATGAGCTTGATGCTCCTTTCCAATACATATGGAGGGTCTTATTCTGGTGATATGATGATCGATGCTTGGCTGCCGTTTGCCAAATAAAAATAATCTTGCTCTTATCCATAATATTCTCATAATGTAGGCTAGCATACCGGCACTGTATCTGCGAGCTAATGGCTAGAGCTATTTAACACAGCCGTTTTTGTGACAAATCCATCGGTTCAGTTGAAAATGCGATGGAAACACATACATTTTTAAGTACCTTTTATGTGCGCTACGACATCACGCACTGCTTCTTATCCGCAAACAAGGCAGTTTGGTGGAAACCGACCACTGATGGTAAAATGCGCATATTTTCTTTATGCGGATTTTACAATATTTGCTTGAAAATCTGTCACCAATTGGATGACTCCTGGTTAAATATAATTTAAACCGTCTTAAGCATGGAGAAAATAAAATATGTGTTCAATAAAAACTTCCTAAGCTAGCGCTTAAACTTGAAACTACTGTCTCCTGTGTGTTTCAGGTCCGTTGTGGATAGTCCTAGTGGCGGATGCAGAGGGCTTTGTACCCCTGACTTTTAAACCCAAAGAGGAGTTGACAGTGAGGAACGGCAAGAGGAAATCTCCCATCAGAAGCCCTGGCAGCCCAGACACGTGCCCCTCCAGCCCTGTCAAATCTCCCTCAAGCCCAGTTAAATCTTATGCGAACACAGAGAATTGAACAATGCCTCGCCCCAAAACAGACACTTCAGCATAGTGGGAGAGAGCACAGAGCAAGGGACTAGCATAACACACAGAAAATGTCAATGCTTTATGCATACATATCTAAAAACTGGATACACACAGACTCAACCCCTCTGCATCTTCTTATGAACAAGCAGTACTGGGTGGAAAATTCGCTTTTTTCAGTTGGGGAATTATTTGAGACAAATGTACTTTTGAAAGTAGCACCTTTCAAACAATGTTTACATTTAGTGACTTTTGGAGATTATATTTGTCTTTTTTTGTCTTTGTATTATATGTACATCCGGTTCAAGATTAAGTAAAAAAATATATATATATCAGACCAATGAAGTACTGTAGTACAGTGTTTTGGCTGGCCTACTTCGGGAAAGCAGCCACCATATCCCAAAGAGATTTATCCTGTTTGTGTGTTATATGATTGTATAATATTAAAACCCTAAAATGTTTAAAATGGATAGTTTCATCACTTAACATATTATGACTGATTCTATTATAGTCATGGTTTATCCAGTCTTCCATCTAAATACAAAACAGATGTCATTAGAGTACCACCAGGGGGAATCAGTAGGCAGAGAATAGAGAATCCAACAGCCATTCCTGTTCAATCTCTTGACACAAAACCACACATCACGAAATGGAACCTTCCTCTACTAGCAGTAAACCCCCTATGTTTGAATTTACACTACCTTTCAAAAGTTTGGGGTCACCTAGAAATGTCCTTGTTTTCCATGAAAACATACATGAAATGAGTTTGAATAGGAAATTATAGCAAAATGCATAGGAAATGTAGTCATTGACAAGGTTAGAAATAATGATTGTGTCCTTCAAACTTTGCTTTCGTCAAATAATCCTCAATTTGGAGCAATTACAGCCTTGCAGACCTTTGGCATTCTAGTTGTCAATTTGTTGAGGTAATCTGAAGAGATTTCACCCCATGCTTCCTGAAGCACCTCCCACAAGTTGGATTGGCTTGATGGGCACTTCTTACGTACCATACGGTCAAGCTGCTCCCACAACAGCTCAATAGGGTTGAGATCCGGTGACTGTGCTGGCCACTCCATTATAGACAGAATACCAGCTGACTGCTTCTTCCCTAAATAGTTATTGCATAGTTTGGAGCTGTGCTTTGGGTCATTGTCCTGTTGTAGGAGAAAATTGGCTCCAATCAAGCGCCATCCACAGGGTATGGCATGGCGTTGCAAAATGGAGTGATAGACTTCCTTCTTCAAGATCCCTTTTACCCTGTACAAATCTCCCACTTTACCACCACCAAAGCACCCCCAGACCATCACATTGCCTCTACCATGCTTGACAGATGGCATCAAGCACAACTCCAGCATCTTTTCATTTGGTCTGTGTCTCACAAATGTTTTTCTTTGTGATCCGAACACCTCAAACTGTCGATAACACTATTTTCCAATCTTCCTCTGTCCAGTGTCTGTGTTCTTTTGCCCATCTTTTCTTTTTATTGGCCAGTCTGAGATATGGCTTTTTCTTTGCAACTCTGCCTAGAAGGTCAGCATCCCGGAGTCGCCTCTTCACTGTTGATGTTGAGACTGGTGTTTTGCGGGTACTATTTAATGAAGCTGCCAGTTGAGGACCTGTGAGGCGTCTGTTTCTCAACCTAGACACTCAAATGTATTTGTCCTCTTGCTCAGTTGTGCACCGGGGCCTCCCACTCCTCTTTCTATTCTGGTTAGAGCCAGTATGCACTGTTCTGTGAAGGGAGTAGTACACAGCGTTGTACAAGATCTTCAGTTTCTTGGCAATTTCTCGCATGGAATAGCCTTCATTTCTCAGAACAAGAATAGACTGACGAGTTTCAGAAGAAAGTTCTTTGTTTCTTGCCATTTTGAGCCTCTAATCGAACCCACAATTGCTGATGCTCCAGATACTCAACTAGTCTCAAGAAGGCCAGTTTTATTGCTTCTTTAATCAGCACAACTGTTTTCAGCTGTGCTAACATAATTGCAAAAGGGTTTTCTAATGATCAATTAGCCTTTTAAAATGATAAACTTGGATTAGCAAACACAACATGCCATTGGAACACAGGACTGATGGTTGCTGATAATGGGCCTCTGTACGCCTATGTAGATATTCCATTAAAAATCAGCCGTTTCCAGCTACAATAGCCATTTACAACATTAATAATGTCTACACTGTATTTCCAATCAATTTGATGTTATTTTAATGGACAAAAAAATTGCTTTTCTTTCGAAAACAAGGACATTTCTAAGTGACCCCAAACTTTTGAACGGTAGTGTATATGAAGCCATGGTTCAGTCCATCTACTAACCAACAGCATTTATTAAGCCCATTTGTCATCAAACCATCATCATATTCAGATACCATTCATAAATACCAGCAATGTCTGGCTAAACACAGCAAATAGTGATATACATTCATTTATATAAATTAGATAATCTTGTAGGTATATTCAAGATGGCTATACATTACACGTTCATGTGAAAATACAGGAACAAACTTAAAATGTTTACAGGAAAACATAACTATCATTATATCATTTCTCAGTGTAATATACACTAATGGACGTCATATTCCAGTTGGGGAACTGGAATCCGCCGCATGTGGAACTTCTCCTGTCTGTCCCATCCCTGGTCATGCATTACTCAGATCCTCCAGCGTTCTGGAGCTGATGCTGCCTTGTTTCCTGTAGAAAACAGGCAATAGTAACTTTTAGATTGAAGGTATGTTGGTATTTGACCCATTTCAGGCCATTGTGTGATCCAAATACTCTGTTTGGTAGCACTTCACTTAGGCATGCAGGTATAATGCATTATGATGAGTTTATAATGCATTGTAAGACGTCATAAGCATGTATCCCCTTATATTGTCTTATACATTTACAAGAGCACTGTGAAGTTCTATTAACTTCTGACAACAGAGTTGTGGGTAACTCACCGTAGCTCTTCCAGACAGAGTTTGTTCCTGAGCCGGACATCCTCACTGATGGGGTAGAGCAGCAGTATGAGCAGGCCTGTTACGATGAAGGCCACTGGGGCGGCGCCGATGAGCAACTTCAGAGTGTAGGCTACTTGAGCAGGCTGCCTGCACGCCCCTGTGTCATAACCCGCAAACCTGAAGGTACACACACACACCTGTATCAAACACAGCAAACCTGTAGAGATATATACAGAGATACATACACGCACACACCAGTGTCATAACCTGCAAACCTATAGCGACGTATACCTGTATCATACCGATAGTTACACACAGTGCCAGTTTCATAAAGTATAATGGACTACAATGGAATGCATATACACTACCAGTCAAAAGTTTGGACACACCTACTCATTCAAGGTTTTTTCTTTAATTTTACTATTTTTTACATTGTAGAATAATAGTGAAGACATCAAAACTATGAAATAACACATATGGAATCATGTAGTAACCAAAGAAAGTGTTAAACAAATAGCCACCCTTTGCCTTGATGACAGCTTTGAACACTCTTGGCATTCTCTCAACCAGCTTCATGAGATAGTCACCTGGAATGCATTTAAATTAACAGGTGTGCCTTAAAAGTGTGGAATTTCTTTCCTTCTTAATGCGTTTGAGCCAATCAGTTGTGTTGTGACAAGGTAGAGGGGTATACAGAAGATAGCCCTATTTGGTAAAAGACCAAGTCCATTTTATGGCGAGAACAGCTCAAATAAGCAAAGAGAAACAACAGTCCATCATTACTTTAAGACATGAATGTCAGTAAATACGGAACATTTCAAGAACTTTGAACGTTTCTTCAAGTGCAGTCGCAAAAACCATAAAGCAATATGATGAAACTGGCTCTCAGTTTTGAATATCTGTAATACTCTGTTAGTGTTTATGTTGTCTGTCTGCCTGACTCACTCGAGGCAGAGGGTGGACACTCCCAGGGAGATGCCGGCAGCGAACTTGGTGAAGAACACGTAGAAGGAGTAGAAGATGGCCTCATAACCTTTACAGTGGGGGTTGGCCAAACGGAAGTCATCCACCACGTCTGGCAGCATCGACCTGAAACACAACAAACACACACACATCAATACTACATCAAAACATCGCCCATCAACAATTTATAGGCCTACCCCATCATCATGTTATCCAACCAGCTTCGATGACTCCGTCTGTCTGATGAGGAGCAGTCTACTTATAGTGCTAAAGGATAAAATGGCTATAATAATGCTTATAGCGCAGAGATAAAAGGATCTGGTGAAATGACTGCTACTAATAACATGACTAGATGATGAAGCTAGCTGTAGCCGAGCTGCTCTGACCACAGAATGGGGAATCACCAGAAAAACAGACAGACAGAAATACACATCATGGTGACCCCACTGGATATACCCTGTCATTTAGAGAGTGAAGGGAAGGATGGAGGTGGGAGAGAGAAAGAGAGGAAGGAGGGAGACAGGAGGGAGAAGAGCACAGAGGGAGGCCAATGTGCTATAAACAACAGCAATAACAGAATGAAAGTGGAGAGTGTAGCCGCCCCCTGAGGTTTATAGACACATCTCATTGATCAACATGACATCATCGCCAGGCGTGACTGTATCATGCCAGTGGGTGAATGGACAGAGAAACGGGGAGACTGCTGCTATTTTTGGCACTGTTATGGCTACTTCAAACTGCTGCTGCTATTACTAGGATACTAATTCTGTGACTGTGGCTATTTTTACCACACCAATGATACAGTGGGGAGAAAAAGTATTTAGTCAGCCACCAATTGTGCAAGTTCTCCCACTTAAAAAGATGAGAGAGGCCTGTCATTTTCATCATAGGTACACGTCAACTATGACAGACAAATTGAGAATTTTTTTCTCCAGAAAATCACATTGTAGGATTTTTTATGAATTTATTTGCAAATTATGGTGGAAAATAAGTATTTGGTCACCTACAAACAAGCAAGATTTCTGGCTCTCACAGACCTGTAACTTCTTCTTTAAGAGGCTCCTCTGTCCTCCACTCGTTACCTGTATTAATGGCACCTGTTTGAACTTGTTATCAGTATAAAAGACACCTGTCCACAACCTCAAACAGTCACACTCCAAACTCCACTATGGCCAAGACCAAAGAGCTGTCAAAGGACACCAGAAACAAAATTGTAGACCTGCACCAGGCTGGGAAGACTGAATCTGCAATAGGTAAGCAGCTTGGTTTGAAGAAATCAACTGTGGGAGCAATTATTAGGAAATGGAAGACATACAAGACCACTGATAATCTCCCTCGATCTGGGGCTCCACGCAAGATATCACCCCGTGGGGTCAAAATGATCACAAGAACGGTGAGCAAAAATCCCAGAACCACACGGGGGGACCTAGTGAATGACCTGCAGAGAGCTGGGACCAAAGTAACAAAGCCTACCATCAGTAACACACTACTCCGCCAGGGACTCAAATCCTGCATTGCCAGACGTGTCCCCCTGCTTAAGCCAGTACATGTCCAGGCCCGTCTGAAGTTTGCTAGAGTGCATTTGGATGATCCAGAAGAGGATTGGGAGAATGTCATATGGTCAGATGAAACCAAAATATAACTTTTTGGTAAAAACTCAACTCATCGTGTTTGGAGGACAAAGAATGCTGAGTTGCATCCAAAGAACACCATACCTACTGTGAAGCATGGGGGTGGACACTTCATGCTTTGGGGCTGTTTTTCTGCAAAGGGACCAGGACGACTGATCCGTGTAAAGGAAAGAATGAATGGGGCCATGTATCGTGAGATTTTGAGTGAAAACCTCCTTACATCAGCAAGGGCATTGAAGATGAAACGTGGCTGGGTCTTTTAGCATGACAATGATCCCAAACACACCTCCCGGGCAACGAAGGAGTGGCTTCGTAAGAAGCATTTCAAGGTCCTGGAGTGGCCTAGCCAGTCTCCAGATCTCAACCCCATAGAAAATCTTTGGAGGGAGTTGAAAGTCCGTGTTGCCCAGCGACAGCCCCAAAACATCACTGCTCTAGAGTAGATCTGCATGGAGGAATGGGCCAAAATACCAGCAACAGTGTGTGAAAACCTTGTGAAGACTTACAGAAAACGTTTGACCTGTGTCATTGCCAACAAGGGGTATATAACAAAGTATTGAGAAACTTTTGTTATTGACCAAATACTTATTTTCCACCATAATTTGCAAATAAATTCATAAAAAATCCTACAATGTGATTTTCTGGAATTTATTTTCTCATTTTGTCTGTCATAGTTGACATGTACCTATGATGAAAATTACAGGCCTCTCTCATCTTTTTAAGTGGGAGAACTTGCACAATTGGTGGCTGACTAAATACTTTTTTTCCCCACTGTATGTTTACTATTGTTACTGTAGCTACAACCACTGGCTAGTGCTACTACAACCACACTACATTTACAGACCTTTGACCTTTGTGCCAGCCCAATTCAATTGATCTCACCATGGTAAGAGGAGTGATGCGGCCACACTGAGTCCAGAAGAGACAGCCACTACGTAAGCTACGACCAGGTTAGGGATGAACACCAGCATCACTGTGAATGGCATGATCCACTGGACAGAAAGAGAGAGGAGTTCAAAAAGTTTATCCGAAAGTAATAACCTGTTCGTCCACAAGGTGGCACATTCTTATCATCAGTGGAATACCAATAGCACTCCGTCCCAGACTCTTACCGTGATGCCACAGAAGGCTGCTGTCTTCTTGCCAAACCTCTCCAAAAACCACTGCCACAGAGGGATGCTCACTACTGCAGATACCTGGGAAGAGAGATATAAACTCAGCAAAAAAAAAGAAATGTCCTCTCACTGTCAACAGCGTTTATTTTCAGCAAACTTAACATGTGTAAATATTTGTATGAACATAACAAGATTCAACAACTGAGACATAAACTGAACAAGTTCCACAGACATGTGACTAACAGAAATTGAATAATGTGTCCCTGAACAAAGGAGTGGTCAAAATCAAAAGTAACAGTCAGTATCTGGTGTGGCCACCAGCTGCATTAAGTACTGCAGTGCATCTCCTCCTCATGGACTGCACCAGATTTGCCAGTTCTTGCTGTGAGATGTTACCCCACTCTTCCACCAAGGCACCTGCAAGTTCCCGGACATTTCTGGGGGGAATGGCCCTAGCCCTCACCCTCCGATCCAACAGGTCCCAGACGTGCTCAATGGGATTGAGATCCGGGCTCTTCGCTGGCCATGGCAGAACACTGACATTCCTGTCTTGCAGGAAATCACGCACAGAACGAGCAGTATGGCTGGTGGCATTGTCATGATGTTCGGATGTACTGATCCTGTGCAGGTGTTGTTACACGTGGTCTGCCACTGCAAGGACGATCAGCTGTCCATCCTGTCTCCCTGTAGCGCTGTATTAGGCGTCTCAAACTACGGACAAAGCAATTTATTGCCCTGGCCACATCTGCAGTCCTCATGCCTCCTTGCAGCATGCCTAAGGCACGTTCACGCAGATGAGCAGGGACCCTGGGCATCTTTCTTTGGGTTTTCAAGTCATAGAAAGCCTTTTCTCCTGAGTGCCAGTAGTCTAAGGCACTGCTTTAGTGCTAACTGTGCCACTAGAGATTGTTCAACAGCTGTCGCAGCGGCCGGACCGGTAGATCAGCGCGCAAATTGGCCGCGTGTCCAGGTAGGGGAGGGAGGCGGCAGGATGTACTCAGTTGATAGCTGTTGCAACTAGGTTGTGGGTTCGTCCAGGGGGGCCAGTATAAAAAAAAACTAAAATTAATGTTTCACCGTTCGCTTGATACAGGGCCTCTAATGACTAAATGTAAATGTAATTGTGTCCTAGTTTAATACTGTTTATGGTACCGTCTGTAAGCTGTTGTGTTATAATTGCAGGTCATAATGTTATGTTCATGCAGCATGGAAAACAGTGTTAAAACTCTTTACAATGAAGATCTGTTGAAGTTATTTGGATTTTACTAATTCTCTTTGAAAGACGGGGTCATGAAAAAGGGACGTTTCTTTTTTTGTGGGTTTATAACTCTTTAAGGAATATTGCACTTTATGTTCTATTTAACATTGTTATTTTGCGTTCATGAGTATACTCAAATGTCATATAAAACCAATCACTGATGTCAATGGGAGATTTGTATGACATTTCTAGTTCCTCATGTTAGGATTAAGCCTTTCATGAGACAGTGGTCTGTATTATGTAAGGATCTTAACATTGATCTAGGTCTAATCTCTGTTAACCCAGAACCAAAATCCCATGATTAATAGTCTGTCTATGAGAGATTAATCTAGGTCTGAAACCAGAACTCACCAGGATGGTCAGTACGATGTTCTGGAAGTGGTCTCTCAGGTCCACTGCATACGTACAGAAAAGGACAAAGTTGCTCTGCACCAACTGGAAATCAGAACAGATATCACACACATTCATTCTTCAGAAATGATTCAGCATATTGAGCACTGTCCTATTCTCTCTGCCCACTGTGCCAAGTCACTGGAGAAGCAGCAGATTCATCCCTGCTATTGAATGATATACAATCATTATTTTCTGTTCAAAAGAGAAAAGCTTTATGAGATACAGCAGTTGAGAGGTTTGAGGAGGAATCTATCAAAGCTGTACTATAAAGCTCAGACTCCAGTGCGGAACTGTGAGGGCTTTTTACGCCTTCAGAGAAGGCCTAAGGATTTTTTAAATAATTGTTGTAGTTTTAAAATATACATTTATTTTTAATTGCTATTTCATCTTTTCAATAATATTTCAATGATATTGTAATTCTATTATTATTTCCAATTATATTCTGATTTAATCTCTTCAATTTGTGTTGGATAGGAAAGGGTCAACACAATCAGGATTTTTCTTAGGTAGTCTCTGGGGAGATACATCTAAATAAATGGAGGTCAATGAGAGTGTTGAATTTGGTCCAAGAAAAAATGTAATTGCTAATTTGCTATGTGAGGCTTATTTGATCGAATAGAAGTTTAGTAATAGTTAGGTTGTTACTAATGCACTGATAGAAGTGGAGCCTGTTGTCATAGAGATCGATAGAAGACTCATCATGAATATGTCTAATACAACAAAACATATAAGATCTCCTAAGCCTGTGTTAACCTCAGACCTTATTTTCAGCGTTTATCCCAAACCCTATTCATTCCCCATTCATTTCCCCCATAGGAATTGCTGCACGAACCAGAGGTAACTCATTTTTGTTTTTTAGGACTGCAAGCTGGCGAGCTCTACTCAACTGTATTAGCGCAGAAGTTTAGAGTAGAGTGGAATCAATCAATCACATTTTGACTTGTAATGGATGGGACTGTTTTTATAAAAATGTATGGAAACTTCCGCCTTCTCGAAGGTTGACAGGTCACTGTGCAATAGAGAGCAATAGTAATGGCATATTTGTGTAGGCACTAACGGAGGCTAACTCCACCATGGCTCGTTGGCCAAAGCCTATAGGGAAATTAATGTTTTTTTTGCAGGATTTTTGGATAAACGTTGAAAATAAGGTCTGTGGTAAACACAGGCTTAGGAGATCTTATATGTTTTTTGTTCTATGAGATAATGTTCATCAGCTAACATCACTTTTTGTGAATTTTGAAGCATTTATGTAATCAAAACAAGCACATAAAGGCTTCATAATTCACAAAGGTCATGTTAACTGACTGATATTATCTCATAGAACAAAATGTATAAGATCTGCTGTGGCGTGTATTCATGGGCCAAGGGAAGCCAGGCTTTCCCAAATATTCGACCAATAATAAATAATAATAAAATAAAAAATGTATCTTTCGTCTATCTGTGTTTTCATAATTGTCTGTCTATTCGCAAGTGGCTGAATCTCACAGGAGAAATCATCCGAGTGAGGGAAACAGCGCCCCTCTGTCTCAGTATGTGTAGCCCATGCATCTGATACTGACTGGAACAAAAGAGTATGACATGTTGCCGCAATACCATTTGATTGATTGCTGCCAACAAGCATTTGGCCTCCTTTAATAAAAATAAAAATAATAATTTGCCAATCAGCATTGAGCTGAGCTCAACTGTGGGTTGTTGTCCAAGAGAGGCCAGTTTGGATTTGGATTCACACCAATCAAATCACATCCTAAGCAAAATGTCATCATTGTCAGAAAAACGTGTCTGTTTCTGGTCTGCTTGTGTTGATGTCCTGCAGTAGCTAGCTTGCTAAATCGGCCCTTTCCTAAGTCATGGATGGAGATGGGGATTTGGACCTGTGGTTTTGACTTAATTCTCTGTACAGGCCAATGATTATGACGTCAATTCTGATCCAACCATGAATTCATACACTACATGACCAAAAGTATGTGGACACCAAAATCATGGGCATGAATATGGAGTTGGTCCCCCCTTTGCTGCTATAACAGTCTCCACTCTTCTGGGAAGGCTTTCCACCAGATGTTGGAACATTGCTGCGGGGACTTGCTTCCATTCAGCCACAAGAGCATTAGTGAGGTCGGGCACTGATGTTGCGTGATTAGGCCTGGCTCGCAGTCAATGTTCCAATTTATCCCAATGGTGTTCGATGGAGTTGAGGTCAGGGCTCTGTGCAGGCCAGTCAAGTTCTTCCACACCGATCTCGACAAACCATTTCTGTATGGACCTCACTTTGTGCACAGTAAAGGGCCTCCCCCAATCTGTTGCCACAAAGTTGGAAGCACAGAATCGTCTAGAATGACACTGTATGCTGTAGTGTTAAGATTTCCCTTCACTGGAACTAAGGGGCATAGCCCGAACCATAAAAAACAACCCCAGACCATTATTCCTTCTCCACCAAAATGTACAGTTGGCACTATGCATTCAGGCAGGTAGCGTTTGCCTGGCATCCACCAAACCCAGATTCATCCGTCGGACTACCAGATGGTGAAGCATGATTCATCACTCCAGAGAACGCTTTTCCACTGCTCCAGAGTCCAATGGCGGTGAGCTTTACACCACTCCAGCCAACGCTTGGCATTGTGCGTGGTGATCTTAGGCTTGTGTGTGGCTGCTAGGCCATGGAAACCCATTTCATGAAGCTCCTGACGAACAGTTATTGTGCTGACGTTGCTTCCAGAGGCAGTTTGGAACTCGGTAGTGAGTGTTGCAACCGAGAAAAAACTATTTTTACTCACTACGTGCTTCAGCACTCGGCAGTCCCATTCTGTGAGCTTTTGTGGCCTACCACTTCGCGGCTTAGTCATTGTTGCGCCTAGACATTTCCACTTCACAATAACAGCACTTACAGTTGACCGGGACAGCTCTAGCAGGGCAGAAATTTGACGGACTGACTTGTTGGAAAGGTGGCATCCCATGACGGTGCCACGTTGAAAGTCATTGAGCTTTCAGTAAGGCCATTGCATGGCTGTGTGCTTGATTTTATACACCTGTCAGCGACATAGCCAAATCTACTAATTTGAAGGGGTGTCCACATACCTTTGTATATATAGTGTATATTGTCCCACTGGCCTGAGACAATTGACGTTCAGATGTAGCCTAGTAGGCTCATGTTAACTAGCTAGCGAGGAAGTTAGGCTAGTAAGCATTTTAGCTAGATAGCCAATGACAACAAAAACGAATAGCGTACTGT